GGGGGGGGGGGGGGGGGGAGGGATAAAGTCATCTCTCCAGGCACAATCAGGGAATCCACGTGCCCCGTAAAGCTACAACCTTGGTTTTCTCTTCCATTGGAACTTCTTTCTTTCTTGGAACTCCTCTTCTATTTCTCTTCTTTTCTACTGGAATGTTGGGTTTATTATTATTTTTTTTTTCTATACTTTTGTGAGGCATTTCTCTGATTTACAGAGAAGCTTGCTCTTTCGGGATAAGTGAAAGACGCAAAACTACTAATCCTGGCCTGTTGTTGCAAGAATTGATTGATTTTCAACTCCTAGCGACCCCATAGATAGATTTGTTGTAAAAAAAAAAAATAGGCACAAAATAAACAAGAAAAGCTGCCTAAGATTACATTAGAAAAAGCAGAGCAGTTACAGCACAGCATTCTTAGTACAGTTAGAGGTAGCTAGCCTGAGAAAGTTTTATTATTAAGAAATTATTTATTATTAAGAAATAGCTTTCAGTAGCATGATGTTGCAATACTGCATTACACTATGATGTGATCGGTGCTGTTGCAGCGTCGCACAGGGAAGATAAAGGCGGCCTGATGCAAGCTGCGATGGGGGTTGCACGTTGTGTCCCCAAGCATTCCCTTCTGCAGGCATTGTGCAAGATCCCTGTCCCATGTCTGTTAAGGAGCTTCAGAACTGAGGTAGAAGACAATCACTCAGGGCTCCTCTTCCTCTCTGCCTGTAGTTTACTAACTGTTATTAAAAGATGTGGTATCATAACAGTGCCTTCATCTCAGATCCAGCCCAATACAAAGGTGGCTTGTATTACTCTTTCTCTGTAGTCAGTTAAAAGCAATGTTTTCCCTCTTCTGTTACCAGGTGACCTGCGGGCACACATCACAATATCTCATTGACAGTGTTGGTAATGATATATTCGGGAGTGGAACATACCCAGTTCCTATTGGAGACTTCAGATTGGTGTGGGCATATGTCACCTTTTCCAATGTCTTGGCCATACATTTATGGCCATTTAGTCTCAGGTCACAGGAGAGACTAGATACTCTGGTCCTTTCTGAATTGCTTTTCCAATGGGATGTGGGTTTGTTATAAATGCAGATTTACTGCCTTTTGAAAGAGTAAATCTTTTTTTAAAGGATTATCTTTTGGATGTGTGTTTCCTTGTCATTAGCAAACTGGGCAAACTGACTCTAGAAAGTAACAAGAGCTGTAATACATAGTGGAGGAAAGACTGCCATTCGCAGCCAACCTCACTCCCTCTCTCGCTTGCCGTAATAAATTAAACGTGGGAAATCTCTAAAGATCTCCTCCCCAGTTAAAATCCATTAGTGAACTCCTCCCTCCAGCGATTTTGACTCCAAAGGGAAAAGGAGGAGTCAATATATGTTGAAATGCAGAACACCACACACACACCCCTGCACACTCCCCACACCTGCTTCATATATCTTGTCGTGCTGTCTAGCTCTCATTTTTTCCCTCTTTTCAAAGGCAGAAGTTTTTCACACTGAAATGTACTAAATAAGTCTTCCACTGCCTCACCTGATTATTTTTCCTGCTTTACCTTGCAGCTTTGCTGTTCTGCATGTCAGCCAGTTTGCAGCTCCTGTTTAACACAGTTTTAGCGCTGTTCAAAATAGAGCAGTTCTGGAATAGCATTACTTCCTATCACAGTGTTTCTCAATCTTGGGAACTTTAAGAGGCGTGGACTTCAACTCCCAGAACTCCCCAGCCAGCATGGCTGGCTGGGGATTCTGGGAATTGAAGTCCACACCTCTTAAAGTTCCCAAGGTTGAGGAACACTGTCCTATCAGCTGATAGTTGGTCTCTCTTTGAACGCATTCCTCAAAACACTTGTGCAAGTTTTGGCAGATGGAACTGGTCTAGCCAGGTTGAATGATACGTTTTTCTTGCCGGCTGGTGGCCAATGGTGGGAGAACAAAGGATGGTGCTGCTTTCTGATTTTATAACTGGGGAAAAGTGAAGCCCCAGCAGTGAGGACAGTGCCTATGTCAGCCCTTCGAGGCAGTCCAGATAAGAAGCACGACAGTGAATACAAGCTCTAACTTTATTGTAAGGTTGCATTAACAGAATCTTGTAAGTCTGGAAGTACCCCTCCGTCCCTTACTTTGACTCACCCGAAAACTAGGAAGGGTCTCTTCTGAGATGCTTTCTCTACCCTTCCTCCTCAAATTTCATTGATCAGACCATTGTCTAGGCTGTGGCTCTTTCTTCTGTCTCCCACGGTCATTCCCACATACCATTACACCCTAGTATCCCAGCATACCTTCCCATTGCTTCAAGGGCTGGAGGAAAGCACGTTAACACAGCTGTGAGGAAGAGAACTATTTATACAGACCCCTAGCTCATTGGAATAATTGAGAATCCAGTTCCATGCAAAGCCCGTATTTGCGAATCCTAAAAACTGGGGAGCAGGTATATCAATTACAGTAAGGTTCCCCAAGAGTTGTAGTCTTCTTGTATGAAGGCCCCAGTTTCCGTGCCTCCAAGATCACGAGCCACTGAGCCTCTCCTCTGCTTTCGACAGGCACTCGGAATGCCGTGTTAAACACCGAGGCGCGCACAGTAGAGGCAGATGTGCTAAGCCGCCGCTGTGTGATGATGCGGCTGATGGACTTCTCCTACGAACAGTATCAGAAAGCTCTTCGCCAGTCAGCCGGTGCCGTGGTGATCATCTTGCCGCAGAGCATGGCATCGGTGCCTCAGGATGTCATCCGAGTAAGTCTCCTTTTGTGGGTGAACTCATGCTTAGGGTTGCAGGGCTGCATCTAAGTTGGATTTTGGTGTCCCCCTGCAATATAGCCTTCTGCCGTGTAAAAAGCCAACAGCTGCGTCTTTTGTTAGAGCAGCATCCTGTGAACTCTGCCTGAAATTGGAGCCACCTAACCATGCTGGTTTTCTTCAACCAGGTCTTCAGTGAGAAACAAGAGGTGCCCCAACAGAAGACCAGTAATGGCAAGCAAGGCTCCTCATTGACAGCTATGGTCATTGTTAAATTTGTGGCCCACTTTTCCCTGAGAACTGAGGCGCAAAAGGGCTCACAGTATATTAAAAAAAACCTCTCAAAGTCCCGCAAGGTAGATGGACCAGTTGTAGAGGGCTGCATCGCCCTGCTCCCGCGTTTATTCACCCAGAAACAATAATACAATCCTGTCTTCCAGAGGGTTAACATGAAGCTACGCTACAGTTCCTCTGTAAATGTAGCTGATTCTTTGCAAGGTGCCAATAAGTAAGAGCTGCCGGTCAGTGGAATAGGTTACTACTACACGGAGTGGTTTCTTCCCCTTCCCTGGAGGTTTTCCAACAGGCTGGATTGTCATCTCTTGAGGATGGTGTAGTGAATCTGCAGGGTGCAGGGGGTTGGACTTGGTGACTTCTTCCCACTCCATCATTTGATGATGAGCAACGCCCTTCTTTGCAACTCTGATGTCGACTCCCTGTCCTTGTCATCTTAAGCAATTCATGGAGATTGAGCCAGAAATGTTGGCCATGGAGACCATTGTGCCGGTCTACTTTGCCAAGGAAGATGATGAGCTCCTCTCCATCTACGAGCAGACCCAGGCAGCCTCTGCATCGCAAGGCTCAGCTTCAGCTGCTGAAGGTAAGCGCATTGTGCAGTCCCGTTCTGCCTCCCAGGATCTCCTTCCCCGTGTGGACCTCTCTGAACCTTGTGATCGTTTCTAAGGACCTTTTCATTGGGAGCCTTCCAGCTCAGGGCTGTCCTTCTTAAAATGGGCTTCTTTTTTAATTGTTCCAATGGAACAGGAGCTCAGAGGTGAGGCGTTGGCAACGCATACAGAAGCTCTCGGTGTCTGTCCATGGCCGTTCTGAGCAGAAGAATCACGTGACTCTTCACTGCATGTGGCTGCAATTCTGCACTTACTGGAAGCAAACCCACAGGCTATCCATCTGCTTAATTGTTTTAATACTTTCTGACTGGATCCCATACAGCGTTAGCAATTGTAACTCATCCTTTTGACGCTGGATTCTGTTGTACTGATTATTTGTAATTGATGGCTCCCTGGATGCTTTTATTGCACCTCCCTTGGGATATATACTTTGACAAACAGCACATTAAATCAGCACATAGGAAAGATTACCGATTCTCTTGAGCACGGTTGAGGGCGCCAAGTGCAAGTACGTCTATCAAATTCCTTTTGTGTTTTATATAATTATCTTAAAAACAGAAGCCGGGTACTCTATATGGTATAGAGCAGTGTTGTCCAAACTTGGCCACTTTAAGATGAGTGGACTTCAACTCCCAGAAGGCCCCAGCCAGCATTTGTGGACTTCAACTGCCAGAATTGTGGGAGTTGAAGTCCATACATCTTAAACTTGCCAAGTTTGAAAGATATTGGCAAGTATTTTTAGAGGCTCAAATGTCTTGTTTAATTGTTATATTGATTTTGTATTGTATTGTACATGTGAACCCTATAAGCTGCCTACGGGCTGGTTAAGATTTCAGGCGGTAGACAAATATTGAAAATAAATGTTGCTGGAGGTTGGCAATGCAGCCGCAAAGTATATGTGATCCTGAATGTCAGATGACCTTTCCGGGGACGGACTGTAGCCACTATTTGCATCCGATGGATCACGAAGTATACCCTTTGCCAAGTCTACGTTCAGTTCATTTCTTTTATTTCAGGTCAAAGAGCCAGCATATGCCAAGTCTCAGTGCTACAAATTCTTACCCATCTAGCAATATGTCTTTTCTAATTATTTTTCTTCATCTGATCACTTGGAGGCAATTCTTTACTTGCCATTTGAGTGTTTACCAGTTTGAGGAGTTCTTTTTTAGCAATCAAATTTTTTTTTTTAAGCGCAGTTCTAAAAACCAGAATAATCCGGCTCCCCAAATTATAAACCAGCAATCAGGCTACCTGTTTGAATCAAACTGCCTCGCTTTAATATCAAATAATTCTAGAAGCAACCGAAACACTGATTAGCTCTCTATATTTCTAATAACTGATTAGTTTCTGGTTGAGTTAACAGACAAATCGTTAAACTAAAGTCCCATGGTGGACTTCTGTTATCTGGTGCTTGGGTTTCTTTGACATAATCTGAGTACTGATTGCGGGGTTGTAAACATTAACTCCTTTCTTTTAAACCCTGTTTTTCCTTCCTAGTTCTTTTGCACACAGCGACGGCCAATGGCTTCCAGATGGTGACCAGTGGGGCTCAGAGTAAAGCAGTCAATGATTGGCTCATCACAAGCATAGAAGTGAGTTTGGAGGTTTCTTGGCACAGTGGCTTTTCTGTAGGCGGGTGGCCTGCCTGTGATGATTTGCAAGCCCAGGATCTAACCAGCGTCTGCCCCGATATCCTGCTAAGCTTCTCTGATATCCTTCAAAAGCAGGCTAGCGGGAATGATGCATTCCCAGGGCAGTGGAGTTTTAAGGAGCAGTTGGATGGAAGGAGTTTCCTTTTCAAGCCAAAGAAGCAGAGGATCAGGGCTTTCTGTGGAAGGGCTGGCGTTCTTTGAACAGCCTTGTGGGGCTGAGCTGCCAGAGCGAAGGTCACAGCTAGGGATTTTATGAGGGAAGATATGAGAACCGTGGGGAGGGGTTTTGAAGGCCAGAATCAGGAGAAGGAGCCAGTGTTGGAGTTTAAAAACATTTAGCGCTTTTTCAGGAAGTTTAAGGCCTTTTATAGTGTTATAGATGCAGATTTGAAAGAGGGAAAGGTGTCTCTTGCTGATGTGGGCAGGATGGTTTAGCAATAGCAGTTCTAAACCTTATTTGACTTCTTTCCTCGCAAGGGGCGGCTGACTGGCCTGGGAGGAGAAGACCTGCCTACCATTGTACTAGTTGCTCATTACGATTCTTTTGGAGTCGCTCCGGTAAGGTCTTGCTGGCAAGTGTCTGTGCTTTGGCTTTTTCAGTGTGATGCACCTTGGCTCGCTGATTTGAGCTGCCTATATGTTCATAGTAACTGCTGTTTACATTGCTGCAGACATGTATACTGGATGCGAGGGACTGTTTTATTTCCAGTGCTCTGTACAGAAAACCCTCCATTTAAAAGAGCTTAGTTCAGCAGTCTTTGGATGCAAAGGACCAGATTCTGACCATATTCTCTAAGCTTCAGTACTCACATAAAACCCTGTTCATCATTTTAAACTTGTGTAAACCCAACTCGCATTGTATGCCTGTATACAATCTGATAAATTTAATCAGCATTCTGCTTTAATCAGCACCCCTTCCCCCAGAAATCTGTTACACCGAGGATCTACTTTAATCTGGTCTACGCAGTTTAATCCAGAGCATGAGAGAGACTTCATGTTTAGGGGAAGTTACTGAGCTCTGAGGCTTCATAGTGCATCTTACCACTTTCTTCTTTACTCTGTTTTTTTTTTTCCATTTCTATTTCTCAGCCTCCCAGAACAGTCTCCCCTCTTTCTTCCCTCCAACAGTATAAAAATGACGGTCTTATGGATGGAACCGTCCCTAATCCATTTTTTTTCCTTCCTAGCGTTTTCCTTGCTAGGGTCCATTTTTTTTCCGTATCATCCAAATGTTGATCCATTGGTTGCGACAGGAATTAACTGACCGGCTTGTCACCTGAGCCTGTTGTCATGGGCGGAGAGAGTGGGGTTGGCCCAAAGTCACCCAGCCAGCTTTCATGCCTCAGGCGGGACTAAAACTCACCGTCTCCTGCTTTCTAGCCTGGGGCCTTCACCACTAGACCAAACTGCCTCTCAGCCATCCCTAATCCAATGCTGGATCCAATCCACCACTTTAACTCCAGTGACCTAAACAAGAGAGGGGAGGAAATAGTCTGTAGACATCAGGAAGACTTTAGGATGATTTGCAGTCTAGGGCAGTGTTTCTCAACCTTGGTCATTTTAAGGTGTGTGGACTTCAACTCCCAGAATTCTCCAGCCAGCCTTTCTGGATTTCTAATGCTTCTGTGCTCTGCAGACCTCTGGATGAATGTAGCTCTTGTGCCCTTGTGTGGAAGGACTCTGATTTCCTGCAGTCTGTTCACTTGCTGTCTGCAGCATGCTTTGCCCAATCTCCTTTCCTGCCCTTCCCAACCCTTCCTGCTAAGCCAGTGTTTTTCAAACTTGGCAACTTTAAGATCTGCGGACTTCAACTCCAGAATTCCCCAGCCAGCATCTGGGAGTTGAGGTCTACAAATACTGGCTGGGGCATTCTGGGAGTTGAAGTCCACACATCTTAAAGTTGCCACTTCTGAAAAACACTGCTCTGAGTTCCAAAATCTTCCTCATCAGCCTTGGCAAAAGACCCTCTCTTATCTTCCAGTGGCTCTCCCACGGGGCTGACTCCAATGGCAGCGGGGTTGCCGTGCTCTTAGAACTTGCCAGGTTATTCTCCCGGCTCTACACGTACAAGAGGACCCACGCTGCGTAAGAAAGGGGTCGGCTTTGGGGTAGGGAAGATCGGAATGAGGCAGGATCGTGGATGCGCATCCCCTAATTTAAATGTACCCATTGCCTCTGTTCTCTGCACAGATACAACCTGCTGTTCTTTGCATCTGGAGGTGGCAAGTTTAACTATCAAGGGACCAAGCGGTGGCTGGAAGACAACCTGGATCACACAGGTGTGACGGGGTTTATTGTATTCCTTTATATGTTTGGATTTATGGGGAAAGTTTTGGTCTTGCATATGAGGTAGCCAAGGGGAGGAAGGGGGCTGTTGGATAGCTGCCTGGCAATCTGCTTTGGGCAGCAGGAGGTGGCAAGAGGGTGTAGCTTGGCCTATATTAGCTCTTTATCGGCCTGGCTACACTCCCTGCTATTCATTTTTCAGTTATTTATTTAATTCGATTTATATGGCTGCCCATCTCACCCTGCGACTCTGGCTGGCTGACAGATTAAAGCACCATGCCAAACAACCAATATATAAAGCCTGTAGCGACCCTGTTCACTGTCACTTATGCCCTTGCGCCCCTCCTGTCTGGACTACTGCAGTGTGCTCTTGTGGAGCTGCCCTTGAAGAAGTTTCAACTGGTGCAGGATGCAGCAGCATGGGTGGTAAATGGCGCTGGTTTTTCAGCGCATGTAATTCCATTACTTCGTGAGCTGCATCGGTTGCTGTTGTGCTTCCAGGTGCAATTCAAGGTGCTGCTTGTCCCCTTTAAAGCCCTTCATAGTTTGGGACTGGGTTGTTTCCACCTGCCTGGTCCAGTCAGGCAGGATGGGCAGGCTTTGAGACCCGTTGGCTAAGGAATGCCGGTTGGTGGGGCCTAGAAGACGTGCCTTTTCTGCTGTAGCGCCCA